CGAGGTGATTCCATCAAATAAGCTGGCGGCACATGGCAGGTGTTCTCTGTGTTCTGGCCGGGGTCTCTCGCCTCGCTAGCCATGATCCATAGTCCCGCCTGTTTCAACAACAGTGCCAAATCTCCAATGACCAGATCTCTCTCTGAAGGGGAAAGATCAGGTAGACCAAATCGTCGTTCATCGCGCCCTCTCACTGGACGTGGTCCCGGGCCGCGATGACGCAATCGTGACACACTCCGGCATGGGGGTCCTCCGACCACAGCAACCACCTTTCCTCGTCGTGCAAGGTGACAGAGGTAGCTCCAGGTGCCAATCGAGTGCATATCATGTTGTGCTCCATTCACGATGTCCACGTTGATGACCTCATAGCCATACCAATCCATGTTGAGCCAGGACCTGGAATCCTTCCCGCTATAGAGGTGCAGGATGACCCCTTTTGATCTCTCATGCCTCCTCCTCTGATGCCGATTCCACGGGCAAACATTGGGGTCAAATGAGGTCTGCCCCTTCATGTAGTTCCAGGTCTCTGCAGGAACATCAGGAAACCTCTCTGTCCACCATGACTTGATTTCTTCATCAATCATCAGCTCCCCCCCGATCAGCCTTCTCCATCACCTCCAGTAATGCAAGGGCCTGACGTTCAGGTAGGACTGGACACCCTCCTCTCAAGGTGCAATCAACACGGCCATGTTCAGGATGAGAAATCCGATACCCCAGTCCCACCAGACGATGTAGTGGCACGATCACCCCCACCTTCTCCCTTGACAACAGCGTTCGATGCTCGTTGACCTTGTACAAGGTGGCCGATCCTGAAGCCAACTTCACCCGAACTGGGACCAGATGCGGCATCTCATGTGGATAGGCTTCTCTGAGCCCATTTGTTGCGCCTCCATCCAAGAGACCCACCGCCTCCTCATCAGCGCCAACCTTGTGTTTGAGCTCCTTCACTCGCAGCATCTTCATGCTTCGCAGTGTCTTGAGCAATGACGTGGCCTCCGATAGCAGCTCAGCGGTTGCATCCTTCGCCGCGGGCTTCTCCGGGGAATCAAGTCGCTTGGGTGCGGCAGTCAGAGGAGCATTCACACTCTCGTCGGCCAGTTCCTCACCAGCAGAGCCTCCCTTGACATTCTTCTCACTCCCATTCGCCTTCTCCCCTTCCTTCGCGGCCTTCACTTTGGAGACCCTTTTCGTGTCCGGCTTTGCACCCTTCGCTCCATTTGGACAGTCCTTCTTCATGTGAAGTCCTCCACAATTGAAGCAACGACCCTTCATGTCCACATTGTCATGGGCATAGGTGCAACTGCTGCCACGCTTACAACCTTCATCACTCTTCCAGAACTTGCAGGCCAGTTTCTGTGAAGGTCGATCATCAGAGTCCACCGCCCCAAACGACGATGCCATAGCCTTCACAGACGTAGTCGACTGGGTTCCTGCCGCTCCAGTGTTGGTGGTCGCCGGCTGTGCCTTCATGGGTGTAGTCAGCGAGACTTCTTCCACCTCCGCCTGGACATACTCAGAGAGCTCCATGACAGCTTCCACCGTAGCTGCATAATCAACTCGCAATTCTTGCCGCACGTTGGCGATTCGAAATGCCATTTGAGCTCCGCCTGATTTGGTGGCACTGTCAATCATGCGTTGCACAGTGACCATAAGAACCACAGGGTCAGGTAGAGCGAGGTTGAGTTCTTGAGCTCGGGTCAGCCATCGTCGCCATAACCTGACTTGCGTCAGCAACTCCGATGTCCCCGTGGCAAACTTCGCCTCCACTAAATTTTTGAGGAGTTGCGTTTTTCAGCGCCTCCTCCTGGCTGGTACGCCACATGTAGCCTGTACAGGATGTAGACGACCGAGAGCTGCCGTCCACTGACAAGATCACGCCGGAGCTGATCTGGCAATGCCCCCAGCAGCATTGCTATGCCCCGTTGTTCAATCCTCTGTAGGGCAGGTTCCACCACCACCACCGGTTTCGCTCTCAACCGCTCCAAGGGGCTCATCGTCAACCAGCGAGCATAGTGGTCCTGCGCAATGGACAGCGATTCCTCCCACCATGCCTTGGCACTATTCGAGATGTCCGCCATCAACGGAAAGCTCATTGTCAGCCAGTCCCCAAACAGGATAGATGCTCCTTCGGCGTTGGGCGAGGGCAACGGAGGAAGCTCGAGATTCCTCAGGGCTTCTGACATTGCCGATGGCATAGCTGCACCTCCAATGCGAACCACCCTCGAACCCAAATCCGGTCCTCGGTCCTTGCCACCCAGGTCACCCGAATGAAGTCCAGGAGGTCGTTCAGGTCCTGCATAGTTCTCAGCATCCATTCCTCCTTGAGGTCCACTTGATGCAGTCTTGTAGGAATTCGTGTCTGCAGGTTCCTTAGCTGCCAAGAGACGTTTCACTTCTCGATCAAAGTTCTCCTCAGCCTCCTTGAGGATGCGAACTCTCAATGCCTCCACATCATCTCTCGTCGGTGATCCCACGGCAGCACCTGACATGGAGTTCCCACCAGCTACCGCCCGAGGCCCCGTTTCACCTCCTGGTCCATGAAGGCGTCGAGAATCGTCTCCTCCAGATAAATCACCCACCTGATGTGGCTCTCCTCATCGTGTCCTGCAACGCCGGACTCCAGAACGGATTTGGCTCCTGCGGTCGCACCGGGGTTTGAGCTCCCCCTGAACCATAGTCCAACATCCGAGGGTCAACCTGCCCCCGCCCATCTCCAAGCAGCCCTCCTTGAGCGGCATAATGAATGGGAGGTCCGAGAGGTCCTAATAGCCCTTGCCCTTGATGATGCTGACCTAGTGCTTGTCTTAGAACATGATAAGTTTGTTGAACTGCATCGTGTAATGCCCCCAAGCCCCCACGATGAAGGTCAGTCCCAGGCTCCATCGAAGGCGGTCTCGCCGGGTCCACCGGCTTCATAGACTTCAGCGATGAGGAATCCGTCGGCTCCCCCCCAGCAGCTGCAGCCCGCTCCTTCGACTCCTGTGACTGGCTCGGTCGAAGGGCCTTGGGTCGGCCTTGAGGTGTGTCGGCCCCTGCATTGGATCTTCGCGGACCCGCGTCAGCTGACCTTGTTCTTCGCACCTCCTCTTCGATCAGGGCATCAAGTCGTCGATCTGCTGCCCCAATCTCAAGGGGCTCTTCTTCTCTCCTTGCCGCCTCGGATCTTCTCCTTCTCATCGTTGACATTGACATGGCGGTCTTGGGCTCATAACCTGTGAGCAGCGAATTGGAAAAAACACAGCACCTCAAACGCGCTGCTTTTCTTGAGCCAAAGCACGATCAACGCGGAATGTTCGTCGCGTGATGTTTCTCGAAACATGGAGTGGGACTTCATCGACCGCAGAGTCAATCCCAGTGCTGCGTAATCATGCTGTTTCACCTACCAATGTCTGCCAACCACTCTGATTCACATCTCCGTTTGCAAGGAGTTCAGCCCAGTGACGCATCCTTCACGGCCTCCAAATGAAGCTGAGCCTGGCCCAAGCGGCAGGGCCACATGGGGCCGTCATCCAAGCGTTCTAACTCCTGGGGCCGAGCGATTGCGAGGGCTCGGAGCCGAGCGATTCTACATCTGCGCTATGAACCAAAAGGCGATTGGCTAATGTAGACTTCACGTGGACTAAGCCTTGACAATCGGTATGAATAAATATTTGAATGATTTTGAATGTATTTATATAAGGCAAAAATTACGAGGCCACCAACCCGTACATCTTTTGAACATGTCCTATCCGGCCCGTCCCGGCACTTGTGGCCTCTGAGATCCTCTCACCTTTGCATCAGCCACCGCAGTTCCATTTTGAGCCCCCATGCATCTTGCTTGCAGATTCACCTATTCTCCCAATCTTTGCAGGGAGATTGCTACACACTCGCTGTGCACAGAATGCACCATGTCAAGCCCCAAGTTCGGCCTCTCTTAGCTCCCAACACAACAAAACATCAATTTGTAAAAAAAACCTGATCGTATCACCAGCAAGTTGGGAGCAGCTGTCTGGGGACCGACCCGAATTCGGCAAGGTGCGTTCTCCTGTGACAATGCTAAAACGATGATATGGTGCTGTACTATCTGCCCTCCAGGCAAATCACATTCAGGCACTGAGCCTAAAAAGCCATTCGAGAGGACAAAGCCCCAATTCCGGGGTCGCTTGACAAAGTCCAAGGTCGAAGGCATTCTTTTTCCTAAAGGGACTGTACAGGAAGCTCAGGTCTGAATTCTATTGGTCTATCGGAGGTGTTGTGGGGCATGCATTGATCAGTATAAACAGCCACAGGCATCAAGTCTTACCTGTAGAGTGCGGCTGGGTCTACTTAAAAGCCACCGCTGCAAGACTCTCTGCCCTCACTGCCAGGATTCGATCTCTGCCTGAAAATGCAGGAAAGAGTGAAGCCAGCATTTGGATTATCCACTTCTTTATCTACTACTATATGTGTACTATTGTGCACTCTTATGTGCTCTCACATCCATCAGTCTACCCACCTTACCGTGCCTATCTGCCTTCCTCTACCTCTTTCTCACCTCTGCTGAAACATAGCCAAGTTGCAGCCCTTTTGGCAAAAGGGTAGAAGCCCATCGAGGGGCTCCCATCATCAGAGGACCATCCATAGCTTTGGATGTTCTGCACCTCATTTCTCAATACAAAATGCCACTGTGATGGGGACCGGTCTGCTGCGAACGTTTTCCTTGAAAGCCGGAAAAAACAGACTCCAAATGTTGCTTGGATGTCCATTCTCACCAGTAACTAACCATACTATACCATACTCATTTTGGGAAGGTTACACCGAGATTTCCATCGCATGGCAAGCTCAAGTTCAAGTACATTGCTTGCTGGAGTTGATCTTCCGCACTGTCCAACCTACAACAACCTTCATGTATACTGAAGTCCAAATTTCAAAGCCCCTTTAAACAACCAAGGCGCATCAGCTGCTTGAACCGCCTTGATATTCGTGCCCACCATCTCTTGTCCTGTTTGGATATCATAAGCCTTCGAGCCCACAACACGGTAAAGGAAATCCTCTTCCTTCCATGGTGCGCATTGGCTTTGAATCCGGTTGACCTGTGCGCACATATTGTTCCAATAGGAATCGTAGTCCACACCTACAGCAGCTGCTTGACGGATAATTTCATCGATCTCGGTGTCTTCCTCAACATCAATCTGCACCGCATCACCAAAATCCAGTGTGTCCAGGAGGAACTGGACAGGGAAGAAGCGCCGATACTGTAAGTGCAGCCCATTCTTGAAGACTGCATACTGAAACGGCAGCATGGGACCATGGACATATTGGAGGTGCAGCTGCTGTTGTGATGGAGGGAAGTTCATGCCAGCTGTGCCCATGAATTTCAAAGTCGCAGAGTCGGGGATGCCTTTGTTGGCGAAGTATGTCTTTCGAAACAAGTCATCAGACCAGTGCTGCTCAAGGCAAACATTATCCACTTCATCTAGCATCCTCTGCACGATTCGCCTGCCTCGCAAGGGGTCTTTGAAGAGGTAGCGGAGGTCCGGGATGTACACTCCTGTCGGGACGACGTTCAAATGACATACTGAGACGCACAAAGGATCATCAAAGACTAAGACCTCCTCGTTGCAGGCCCTTATCGAAATGGTGAAAGGGAAGCGACCCTTCTGGATCCCGAAAATGAATGCCATCAAGACATTGTCTGTTCCGGTGACATTGGTGTCAGCCAAGTGGAACGAACAGTTGTTGCACTGCGGCATGGTGTGTGCACAGCTTTTCCTCAGTCTCGGAAGTCTGTACACTGGAGAAAAGAGCAGAAACACACCACCAGTTTTTGCATGGGGTAACAGGCACTTCCACTATCAAGTCATGCCAATTTCAAGTTCAACTTGCAACTGCAACTTGTATGTACAATCATGCTGGCACGCTGCTGGCAGGCTGGGCAAACTTTCACCTTGTTCTGCAGCTGTCGCAAAACATGAGGTTCTTTGCCATGGACCTTCGGCGCAAAACTATGCAAACTGGAAACCAGACATGAACTTTGACCAAGTCAGCAACCCTCCGTGTATATGTAGTAGTGTAGTGCATATCTTTATATATATAGTAAAACATGTTCACAATTTTGCCAACCATTTTATGGATTGGCTCAAGGAAACAGATCTGATACCACTAATATCATATCCATTGAAGATGAAATCTGAACATCAAACACGGGTTTCGCATGGTTTCGCAGCATATGTTGGCCATGGGGCTGTGCGAAAGTCTTCCAAGCTGGACCACTGGGCAAACTGACCGCAAAGGTTTGGGCGGCCCACGTGTGGCATCTTTGTCTGAAGGCCAAGGAGGTAGCCATCACCTAAGGCGCTGAGAACTGACGAATCCCAACCGAGCCAACAAATACCGTATCCTGATCTGTTCTCGTCGGACTTTGATGCAACATGCACGCTCAAATGCCTCACACCCCTCATGACGAAAGATGCTAGAAGTATTCAAACTCCACTGATGGGTTTTGGAGAACCCTGCCCTGGGACCCTAAATGCTAAGTCTGTGGCTTTGGACTGGTGTGTTAAGCTCAAGCTTGGCCAGCTTTAGCTCGAGCTCACATCGTGGCAAAAGGAGCCTGCTGCCTTTGCGCAGGTTACGTCCACGCAAGCGTGTGCTTCGCACACCAAAGCCACAGAAGTGTTTCAAGCTCTCCTCAGCCATCTCTGGACGAGCACAGAGGATCGGAGCCATGGCGAATCCACGGAACAAATCGAGCCAAGCGAGCCTGGACATCCAGAGTTGTTTCTTCAGAGTAACGCTCATACAACATGCAACCAAAGCCAGGGATCCAGCATCTAAACATAATGTCTCCTGTTGCACTGTCTATCACTTGGTCTTCCATCGCTCCTGGTACCAGGACGCAGCCTCTCGGAAATGACCCCGACGCCAGCGTGCCTTGGCCACCACTTCCAGAACCTCCTGGGTGAAACACCATGCTTCTAATGAAATGTTAATTTTACTTAATTATATATTGTTTCTAATAGTTTCCTGTTCCCAGTAGCGATGCCAGGAGCCCCTAGTAGCGTCCTTGCTCCTAGTAGTAAGGCCAGGAGCCCCTAGTAGCGTCCTTGCTCCTGCCCCAAGATTCCAAAGTTATCTTGGATGTTTTCAAGGCATTTCAATGTTCAGTCCAAACATTGAGACAAGCACTCACCGCTGACATATCAACAGTGAAAGCTCTCGAAACAAATGCGAAGTGGGTTGCAGGTCTATACAACCTGAGGACATATGTCAAGAGATCCATCCGGCTGCCCCACCTTGGACTGGAGGTTCTGTCTAGCTGCAGTCTCCAGGAAGCCAATGGCTTGGGCGTCCTCTAGATCAAAGCCGTTGAGAGCATCCAACATGATCTATGCATCATAGTTGGGTAAAGCCGAGATTCGGTAGGTAGTTTGTGCGTGTATGATTTTGAGGCTTTGCGTGATTTTGCTGTCTCTTTGAGAGTTCTTGATAGTGGTTGATGCTTGTTCTTTCCACACCAAGCCTGGCAGGAGAAGCATAACAGCATATAGAAACGCTGCACGTTCGAGTTGGGAGAACGATATCCAAGCTGAACCAGTTGGGAGTGTGACTTGCAAGTAAACTCGGCAGGATCTCGGCATGTTTGTGACTTGAATTCTTGGGGTTTAGTTTGAGATCAACAAAACTTGGTAACCTCCCCCCCGCGGCTGCCAAGTTCCAACATTGATGCCAGGTTTGTCTGACTAGACCTGCCCCCAATCGCCAGCACCTGCCTTGCCAGCTTGCTCCAACAGCAATGACTGCACAAGCATGGAGATGGACACCGACAGTAACACGACTGCAAGGATTGCCAGGACATGTTCCTGTTACTGCACCATATCTGATGTGGCACCATTATCATTGACTCCCGGTTTTTGGGGGAAACAGCCGGAAACCTGGTCGACTCAGTAACCTTGAGCTAGACTATCTAAACTCGGCTTCCCACGCCCTTTCACCAGCCAGGGTGAACTATATATGGTCACGTAAACGTCCCATTTAATAGGGAAACTAACAGGGGAAATCAGTGTCCTGACATTAAATCATGTCACAACACCTTCTAAACAAAACTGGCAAGCACTTTCAGGGCAGCAAACCTGAGGGAGACACCCCAAGCGGCACAAATCACAGATGGGTTTGCATTATATATTCATTCACGACGGACACTCTTTCTTCTTCGGCGGCATTTCACCTAATCGTGCCAATGCACGCCCAAATGTCATTTCCCCAATCCCTCAAAGACTCGGTTTGAGCGCCTTTTGCTCCAAAGCAAGGCCATTGCATGGGTCCAGTTTCAATGCACGCTCAAGATCTGCCTGGATCGGCCAATTTGTTTGCAAACTGTTTGCGCACTATTCGCTGAAGGCAGGTTCGTAGCTTCCATACTGTCAGGCAGCTTTTAAAACAAAATGCAAGTCTTGCCACAACAAAAGCATCAAAAGACAAACATGTGCTGGATTCTGAATGATTCTGACCCAGCATCATTTTAGAGTGCCCAACATTCTCTGAGGTTAAATCTCCATCGTAGTAAATATGCATAAGTCTTCTCTCTAACACATGTGACCAGCCGCCTCCGCTTCTACGACATCGAGGTCTGAAGCCTGGAGGTAAATGAAGCAAGTCCGAATCTGCAAATGACAGTCTGCAAATGTCTGCAGGGAAGCGCCAAAGTGTTGCGACTGGTGAGTCCAATGCCCAATTGAGATAGAGGTGTTGAACACATGTCACAAGCCCTCCGTAAAAGAGACATTTATGATTTATGTTTGCAACTGTTTGCGAAGACTTCACCTGAAGTTGGCATTGAAATGAAACGTATGACAGTCAAAGGTTTACCAGAAGAGCAACACATAGTAGCATGTAACTTAACTTAACATGTATTAATAATGTAGTCATTGAAAGTTTCAAAATCCTACTACATCTGCTAAGCGATGCCCGCCCTGGTGAGGGGGCCCAGGCCAAGCGAAGAGCTCCCAATTGGGCATGCCATTCGGCATTGCTGGGCTCTAACCTCAGCGACTGTTATCATGTTCTATCCGGTTCTGCCGGAACTTGTGCCTGGCCATGGCCATGGGCAATAGGGGTGGCTGATTGATCTGAAGTACAAAAAGAACCGCCAATGGCTCCAATGCAGGGCACATGTGTCATGAGTTGAACAAAATCAGAGAGGTCTGAAATCACTTGAGCATCTTGCTAAAGAGTTGAAGTGGTTTCAGTTCAGCATGTAACATGGTTCAAACTTCCTCACAAAGCACCACCAGGTCACCAAGTCTAAGTAGACGCGGTCAGCTTCGTTCTGCTGCAAACATGTGGTCAATCAAGGTCAATGACCCGCAACGGCAGTCAAAGTGTTCGATAGCTGGAGGCAAACCCGCTGTGCAGTCATGGCACAGCAAATAGTCCTTCTTGAGGAGCCAAATTCTACATTTACAGACCAAACAGACCAAAAAGTAAATGGTCACTGAAGCTTGCACCAAGAACAACCCAGAGTCCAGAGCATACTTTGGAAGCCTAGGTCCATCCTGCGATTGAACATGCAAAAGCGGAGAGTGGCTTTCAAGATTCAATAGATTCTTTGAACCCAAGAAGAGCTCAACGAAATGTACGAAGTTTTACAATTAGAAAACCAACCCAAGACACGGTGAAGCAATGTGTGACTGACACTGTGACCGACATCCAGACATCGTTGAAGAGCGGAAGGTGTTTCAAAAGGTTGCGAGTCCTTGGAAGACCTTGCATAAGAGTGTAGATTCCTTGGTCCTGGAATGAAAATTGTCGCATGTTTGCCCCATCCGAAGCAACAACGTGGACAAGCACACCTCCCCAACAGTATTTTATGCATTTCTGGCAAAATTAGTTAGTTGTGACTTGGTGGTCTGCACTTCGGACATTGGGTCTACACAAAACCTACCCGAAACTGATTGATGATGTGGCCAATGCTTGATTGTGCCCAGGCTGGAACCTGATAGACGCTACTTTGCGGGCACCCATGCATGACTGATACAGGCAACAAACACCTTGAGCCCTTTCCAGAAGGTGAAGCATTGTGGCGTGGGACAAAGTGATAAATGCACTGCCGCGGGGCATTTTTTTGTGGCAAAAAGGCTATATAAGACTTTGTGCGCAACCGTGCTGTAGTTTCTAACTGCGTTCTGAAAAATCCAATGAATTTCCATTTGTCTGCTAGAGTCTACTGTACTATCGTATTGTACATATATATTATATACAGTAGTAATTAAGAAGGCTCAACATTGAGTAGCGCCAACTGACAAGTATGCAGTTGAAATGGAGAGAGAGGCAGTGGTCCGAGCATGTGCGGGAAGTCACAAAATATAGATTTGGGAAGTCATTGGGTAATCATCCTCTCTTTCATCCGCCCAAGTGCCTAGGAGGCATCGAATACCATCGCAGCAAGTGCACTGGGTCCCTGACCGCACCAAGCGCTTTAAGGCTCTCATCTGCAGTGGCGCATCGCTCTTGGAGGCAGCTGCCAAACCGCGCCAGGCAGCTAAGCCTTGGTCCGGTCGGCGGACATAACTGGATTTTCTGCTCGAGTAGCTTCTTGTTACTAGTAGCGATGCCCTTTGTTACTAGTAGCTTCTTGCTCCGCCAGGAGCCCCTAGTAGCGTCCTTGCTCCTAGAAGATGTCTAAATTTAGGACTCGTAAACAGCAAATATGTCGTGATGCGATTCGTTCTTGAAAGAGCTGGCTGCAGCTGTCTGCACGGTGTGGCATGTTGCCGATAAGCTTACTCACAAACGGTGTTCAGTTAGGCTCACGCTGGCAAGTGACAAAGCAAACGCTGTCAAATTCAACATATTCAACTCCAAAAGATTATGAAAGGTTGGGGTTATTGCGCACAACAGCATATTTGCCTATACAGTCGTATATAATCTATATAGATTATCTGATGAACTGAAGTCTATATAAACCTGTCCAGCTCAACCAAGCAATTCGACAAACAGCTTACAGGACAGTTTACACTGAAATTTTGCATTGCCACTGCCACTATGTGACCCATTGCAGGACTCTGACAAACACGACCATGAGGTACGGTCTTATCACGCAACAGCAGCGTCATGTCATTGCAGAATGTTGGCTCCCTCTAACGTGCTGGTACAAACAGTAGTCTCCATGCTGGGAAGGCTTGACATGATATACAAGTGGCCAAAAGTACAAAAAGAATGCGTCTGTCGTGTTCTGTCAATTTGCGGCCGTTTCCGCATGCAGTCTGCATCCGTCAGCCAAACTGCTCCAACCAACCTCTGTATAGCATAATGTATTACTACTGTAACTGTCTGGAAAAATAGAACACATAGCAACAAGATCCAAAAAGTTCTAGCCCAGCCACTCTCAGGATTCAAGCTCGCAGCAGCCTTCAGTCAAATGGCTACAAAAACACTGGATTACACTGTGTATATAAATGTATATATATAGATATAAATACACATACACATCATTCACACTATATTCACTATAGACACCGTAAAGCGAATTTTCTGGCCTCCCAGGCAATGAGGGCCTCTCCAGCTTGACCAAGGTTCTGATGCATCTCCTTGGTGTCACATCATCCTCTTGAAAACTCAGCCCGGCCCTACCTGAGATGGCTGCCAAACAAGCTCGAGCTACACAAGTTGTTGTCGTTCGTCAAAGTGTTCCATCCCAGTAATCCATCCAGTTATTTATTCAAACCCTTCCCTCTGTCTCCCGTGTCTTCAACTTACCGTGCATTTTCTACCGGGACTCCCGACTGCCAAAATACTGTGCAAAGCCGAGGCCTCCATGGGTGGAGCAAGCTTCGCACCTGCAAAGCGAATCATCAAGAAGTTTTCAATTGCATCCAATTGCCAAGTTGCTGCCTACCCATCACTGGCAATAGTTCTCAAACCAATAATGGCTGATATGAAAAAATGGTAGGGGCTCTCTTTGAAAGGGGCCTGCAACTGTACCTCTCTCTTTTCATCTCGAATCATCTCGGTCCTTGAATTGTTCCACTCCTGCCTCGGCTGATGGCACCGATTGCCTCGCTGCTACGGCCCTCCTTGTGCAAGTGCCCCATTGAGCAGGAGGGGTTCCCGGTGTTATACACCATCCAATCTTATCTATTCGAATAGCTTGGGTCAGCCTTGTATGAATCAAAAGCATTCAAAGGATTTCATCTCTCTCTGTGAAGGGTCGTGGATGTCGAGCAATTGGCAAGTGACGGGAATTATATAGATTTTCCCGTTCTTTATCAATCCGAATGCTTCGATGTGCAAAAGCTTGGGTTACTGCAGTCTTTCCAGCACCCTCACGAAGCTGCAAGGCAGTCGTGTTAGAAAGGAATTCCAACTGTGTTGAAAACTGGCATTGTTAGCAGGAAAACTTGGCCACTTCGGGACCAGTGCCTTGAAAATGCTTGACGAATCCTAACAACCTTCACAGGGAGAAAGCTTCTCTCAACCATGGACGGAGTTGTTGCCGGCGGCATCCATGGGGGTGCCATCCACCAAATATCCAACATCGGCAGAGTATGCTGACGCAGGCAGCGCAGAACCGGGAGAATGAGGATCTGGCTGGATGGAGCCTGGATGGTTGATGGCATTGCCTGCCTGATTCATAGGAGTGCCATCTGGAAGGTAGCCCACATCATTCGCAAAAATTGCCCGGGGCAAAGGAGAGCCAGGAGCATGAGGGTCAGCTTGAATTTGCTCAGGGTGATTGATGGCATTTCCTGCTCTGTTCAGGGGTGTGCCATCCGGAAGGTAGCCAACATCGTTGAAATAGCTAAGATCCGCATAGGCATCCTTCAGGGCAAGCTTCCAAACAGCTTTCAACATAATGTAAAACATTGTCCACAAATGTGCACTGTATGTATGTATGTAGGTATGTATGTAGGTATGTGTGTAGGTATGTATGTGGGTATGTATGTAAGTAACTGTATGTGTGTATGTGTGTGTACGCATGTATGCATGTATGGATGTATGTGTGTATGTATGTATGTATGTATGTGTGTATGTATGTATGTATGTATGTACGTAGTGTATGTATTTACAAGTCCAAACAGGAGCCCGTAAAAGGTAAGGGAGACCTGCGGAGAAAGGCTCACACCTGTAAACCAAAATGAACTTGCACAACAATTATTTGACCTCTTGGTCCTCCAAGATTCTAAATAAAGAGCCCTGCTCTTATAAATGATTGCCCAAGTTCGATCTTCCGTAGCAACGCCCTGCGTTCCAATGGCTCGAATCCACAAGTTAATGTGGAACAACCGCCCGCCCGCCCTTGACTTGAGCATGTGGCAAGGTGGCATGGAACATGTGACCGTGTATGCATTCCGAACCCACAGAATTGACAAAGTATGTATGTATGTATTTATGTATGTATGTACGTATGTATGTATGCATGTATGTATGTATGTATGTAACTGTATGTATGTAACTGTATGTATGTATGTATGTATTTTTTTCTTCTGAAGTGTTTGCTCCATGGCCATGTTGGCCGGTCGGCTAGGGCAGGTGCCTCACATCGAATGCTGCCATTTGCTCAGAAGTAGTAGTCGACATTGAGCGGTTGGTCATCTTGTTCATGTTCATTGTCATCACTGGGCTGACTGGCAGTCTCAACCATAGAGGCGTTTGCCCGTTGTGATGTGTCTGCAGTGTGGCCGGAGCCCCTGGTGGGTGCCTTTGCTGCCACTTGGCTGGGTATCATGGCCAAAGCAGCTGCGTCGGCCTTTGAGCCCTGTTCCTGTAGGTCCAAGCCCGTTGGGAAGTGCAATCTCCTTGGTGTAGGCCTGTGGTGGTCTTCTGTGCTGGGCTGGGCAGGCTGCCTGTTGTCCAGTCGTGGTTTCTTGACCTGCTCATGCAAGGCCTGAGGTTCTTGTGTTGCCATGTGGCTTGTGTCACCAGCGGAATCCGGTGAACTGTGTTGTGATGCTTGCTCCATCTGCTTCCGAAAGATTTCCGTCAGCGGTGGTGAGCCACTGCTGCCGGAGCCTTTGCAGGGCTTCTTGACAGCTGCTGTGAGGATGAGCCGCTGCTGTCCATCCAAATGCAGGGTGACGCCGCACTGTGTACATGTGACTTTACTGCCTTTTTGCCACAAACCGTGACTTGTGTGGCCTGCATGGGCTGAGGTGTATGGCTGATCTAGGCATTGTCCTTGAACAAAGGCCTGGAAGACTTGTTCATTGCTTCGCTTGTGGACATTGGTGCCACACCTCACACAACGTAGATAGCCAGCAGTTTCTTCGAGTTCATGCTGCTGTGGCGGTGGCGTCACCTCCTGCTGTTGCTGCAAGATTTGTTTGATGACCTGGGTTCTGGTCAGTTTCTTTGGCATAGGTTGGTGCGGTTGCTCAGGTGCCGGCAGGTGTTCCTCAATGCTGAGTTGGGGACATTCTTCATTGAGGCGCTCCTCAATGACTTGTACTGTCAGTGCCTGATGCACTCGTACTCCACATGCTCCACATTGATGTCCACTTCTATGTGGTGCCCAGCGGTGAGATGGGGCTGACCAGGGTTTTCTGCACTTAGCAATGAGCTGCTTCTTGTATTGCTTGGTTTGCTTGCCTTGGTGCCGGGGTGGCTTCTAATGGATGTAGTGCTCTTTATCGCTGTAGATTTTGGCCAGGCGGTTGATGGCATGGGTGTAGATGAGCTTGTGGTCTTCATCCAAAACCCTTTGCCATTCTGTGCGCTTTCGGTCCTGGTATTGCTTGGCCCGCTCCCAAGCTGCCAGGGCTGCATCCCGCTGCCGTCTGCGTAGCTGTGGCTCGCTGCCTGGTGCTTCTGGTGACCTGGTGTTCCTGGAAACGTAGAGGACCTTGACCCTTCGGAAATCTTGCTTCGTGAGGTGTTCAAGTTGGTCGTTGAACGGTCGTCTACGCTTGGGTTGTGTCCATGCTTCCCACACACTGACCAGCTGGACGATGACTCGCGCTGCCGTGGTGGTGTGCTTGGCCAAGGCAACCAATCCTTCCATGCGTGCTCTGGCTTTGGTGTGAGGTGGATTTGGTGTGCATGTAATGGCTCCGAGCCTTTGCAATGGTCCCAGGGTCATATGGTGCACGCAGAGGCCGAAGACCCAGAGCTGATCTCGCTGATCATAGCTCGATGGTGTTGCATCGAGGGCGAAGGCCCACCCTCGGTGTTGATGGGGAGCAAGTGGCTGCAGATCTTGCCAAGCTCCGTGTCCTTGATAGGGCTGTGGCATCTGTTTGTTCTCTTGGGGCTCGAGCGGTATCCATGCAGCTGTTTGGTGCCATTTGCACAACCAAAGTATGTGCTTTGTGGTCGCAGGGACTTTGCAAATGGGGCACATCTTGGGTTTGCCATCCTCCTTGAAGTGGATGGCTGCCTGCGCCCAGGTCCGCAAATGTGGTTTGTGCTCGCCTGGAATGGTGCGGATCACCTGTCTGTAAGTGTGCCAGTCAAGTCCAGCAACAAGATGTTGTTGGTGCTCTTTGCTGGCAAGTCGTGCCGTGCGTTGTGCCTTGGCTTCTGGCAACAGTGCACGTTCAATTTTCCACCAAGGATCTTGCAAGGTGATCTCAGCCTCAACCAGGTAGGGTCCACTGGTTCGATGCCATCGATGGATGTCTTGGACTTACCATCTCCATTCCAGCATATATGCAATGGCTGCTGCCATGGGACCTCTCACCACATATCATGGATGGTTCCGCTGACTGAGTTGGTGGTAGATCTCGGTCCATGCTTGCTCGAGTTGCTGGAGTTGGTCAGGAGGCCAGTTGTGAAAGAGAGTATATATGGCTTTGATGTGGTGCAAAATGACTTGATCACCCGGGTCGATGTACTCGTTGCTGTTCAGATCATAGGTGCTGTCAAGAAGCCCACCGGCATGATGCCTCAAATGAGCTGCCAGTGCCTGTCTGAGGGCTATGCGGTATCGTGGTGCAAGACCTTGTGCTTCAATGCCCCAGAGAGCCACTGGTTGGATTCCTCCTTTGTGAAGGCGCAGCCGTATTTTCAAAGCTGGAATCTTCAACGTCCTCAATTTGAGCTTCCGTTGCTTGGCTTTTTGAAAGCGCTGACGTAGAACAGGGATTCTCCGTCTTCTAGCCACTTGATGATCCACCCCCAAGTCTCTCATCACAGTGGAAATCGGTGGTTCGTGCTCTTGCAGTAAGCCCTTCAGAGCATGTTCAGTGTCTCGATCTGTGGCTATAAAGGCCGTTTTCTTGGGATTGACTTTCAGACCCAAGCTTGTCAGTCTATGGTAAGATCTCGGTAGGCCTCAACTACTGCCTGCTGTGCCACCTGCATGGCTGAAGGTCCAGTGAGGTCGAAGCCCACATCATCTACCCAGCTGGACAAGTTGGCCTTAGGGTGTTGTTCTTTCCATGGGATCAATGCAGGAGCCAGAACTGCCTTGGCCAGGAGTGGAGCCTGTGGGCACCCAGCGGGAACTCCGTGATCTACATGGAAGAAGGGCGTCATCTCCTGCTCAGCTAGTATGGCCTTGGGACCACAGTACACCTGCATGGCCAGTTGCAGAAGAAGTGGCGGGTAGTCGAGCCTAAGCGCTTCGTCCTGCAACCTGGCAAGATGGATGGTGTCGTAAAAGGTTGACATGTCCATCAAGACGGTGATGCCGTGTTGCTTTCTTGCCTTGGTGACTAGGCGCTCCAATGCCACATGGAGTACGTTGGCTCCAGGTCTAGCTCTGTCGTGGTTCATGCTCTCTGGCAAGTGTTGCCATCTGTCCAAGAGCGGCACCAAACACGCCAGAGAGTGGACGTGAGCGTGATGGGCCTCTCCAGCTTCTGATTCTTGGGTAACATGACTACTAGATGCATTTGCATCTGAGTTGGAAGCTCTGCAGTGTGCTCCATGGTCTGAAAGAGCTGTAGCAGAGGAGTCAATGCCAATGGTGGCAGGCTTTTCAGCATTTGTGTTGAAACCGCATCAGGACCACTGGCTCGGTCAGGGTGTGCTTTAAGAACTCTCTGAAGCAATCCTTGGGTCAGAGGCTCCAGGGTGGATGCTTGCTGTTGCGCTGCTTGTTGAAGGCTGGGTCGTGGACTTGGTGTATTTTCTTGTCTGATCTTCCACAGGCCTCCCCAATCAGCAAGTCGTTGATCCATCCTTTGTGACATGGGTGTCATTCAATACGGTCTCTCCCATGCCAGTTCGCTGCTTTTCAAACTCCTGAAGAATCCTTTCAGCCCTTTTTGATATCCTTCTTGTAGCCATTGTCGGTACTGCAAAGAGGTTTCCTCGTGGGCCTCTTGTTATGCCTCTTGTAGCTGATGTGCAATTGTTTGGAGGAGCAATTCAGCCGCATGGGGATCCCGGTATCGATGCCAATGATGACACGTAATTATCGATAAACTGTCCCCATGTAGGTGCCCAACCCAGTGCCGATGTGCATGACGGATCCTCTGCATGAAGCCTTTGACGGGGCCGGTGCAGGTGGTCTCTGTTTGTTGCAGTGCAAGATGAAGGACTGCTCTGAGTTGATCCCAAAAGTCTGGCCGCCCTTTTCGCCAGGTGTGTGCTTTGGCTTGAGGCACTAAGGGTTTTGTGACTGCCTGCAACTGGTATCCTCGTCCCTGGGCCGCCCATGGGTTCTCCTGGAGGACGTACTGCTCCGTTTTGGACAGCCAGTCTGCCCAAGCTTGTGCTGGCTGATTTGGTGGGTTGCCGTAGAGCTCGACCACATGGGCCTGTGATTGATAGGTGGTCCAAGGTCTGAAGTCAATGTCTGGGACCTTCGGTAGTGGTGGGAAGTTTGGCGTCTGTCGATACTCCTTGGTTGCAGCTTCGATGCCAAACTTCAGCTT